CAAAGAGAGAGATTTGTACATTTTAATAATAACTACTCAAACTTGTGTTAAGAACCGTAGTTATTTCTTTATTTTATCCTAAGTATAAAACTTATAACAACATATTTCCATTTTTTAAAATGCAAGTTCAGCAAATGTTTTGAAATAGTCACCTCACATGTATTTTTGTTGACTAATCCATTGCAAATCGTCTAGGTAGCATGAAAAAAACAACACTTTTTTATTTTCATGATTTAGTGGGGTGTTAAATCACATGTATTTGGTGATACATTAACAGCATATTGTCATTCAGTGCATGAATTATTTTAACCAAGTTTATCTTATGTTTGTGTGTTTGTAACACTTTTAACAAGTAGTGTATGTTTCAATTAATATGGTCATTGGATATAAATGCAATACTACATTCAAGGCTAGAGGGTATAAAAAGTGAAAGATTCAACCTGTTTGTTGAAACTTCCCCCATTTCTCAAACGCTTCAAATGTCCTTGCTGGATTAAAAAGAATTTGTTTTGATTCGAAGACAGGGATGAGATGCTTACCGTACTTTTATCTGGTAGGAATGCCAAAATGCGGAACAACGGACTTTCACAGTCGAATAACCTATCATTCATTGATTTCAAATAAGTCAAAGAAGGAGACTCACCGGTTTTCGAGAAAAGATTTAATCGCATTGGTAAATATACTGCACTCAAGTAATTAAATAAGGAACATTTAGATAAGATAAGATTTTTGTTACCATCAAAACCAACATGTAAATGAGTAATTGATAAAAAGCAGTTGATATTTATAATCGAATTGGAAAGAAAAACAAGCATTTTATTGGTATTACCATATCCTTAGCAATTTTAAAACAATGAAATCAAATAGATATTATTCAAATGTTATTTATTCTTCAACAGGACGATATTGTTTTTTTTTTTTTTTTTTTTTTCTTTAATATAATATGCAAATACCACTGTTATATTATAACTGAACAAAATCTTAATCATAATGTGTTATACGAATATTTGATATTGATTCATTATGTTTTTAACAAATTGTCAGTTCATAGCGTTAACAGTCACATATAGATACATAAATGCACTGCTTTAATGGTTTTTACACGATAATCAGAAAATTCCTTTGATTTTTACAGGAAAATCACAGCGTCTTTCAGAGATATCTTAACTTATACAATCGTGCCGTTAAAGAAGATGTTTTAAACTCAAATCAAACAGATGGAACCTTCAACGGAATTTTTGGTATGCTATAAACAATATGTTGATGTTATTTCACCGCAACAACTCGTGCTATAAAAAGTCAAAGAAAACCCAAAAAGTTTCAACAAATATTCTTGACATAAGAATTTTTATAGTTGGCAAAAAAATTTTTTGGGAAAACCACCCAAAATTAAAAATTTTTTTGTTTATGAAACAGATTTTAATTGACGTGATCTCATGCTTTTAATTTCACGATATCACTCATGATGCTAAAATAATTCACAATTTTAACTTCAGATATTAACAATTTTAACTGAATATTTATAGCTTTAAAAATGCTCCGCTTGGGCCTGAGTACAAAAAAATTTAACGTAACTGAAAATTATAAAATAAATACACGTAACGAATGACCGCGTGGTTAATGTTTTTCATACTAGACCGGCAGTCCAGAGACCCGTGGTTTGAGTTTTAGCTGCGATTATTTAATATATAGAATTATATGTGCGTGTGCGTGTGTGTACCATACCTGTCATAAGTAAGATATTTCTGATAAGAAAAACATTTTGACAGAGTCAGACAACAAGTTCCTTATTGTTGTATTGCCAATGACATGATTCTCTCTCCGTCTGTCTGTCTGTCTGTCTGTCTGTCTGTCTTTCTCTCTCTCTCTCAAAGTGAATAACTTATATATACATTGACTTTTAATAACTGTGGTATTATTTAAGGTGATTTCAGTAGTACATATTGGGACAACAGAAAGCTGCTTAAGAATTGGACTGGTAAGAAAGGAACTAACCCTCCATATACTCTTGCTGATGTCATATACAACCTGAATCCGAACACAAAAATTATATTTTTGTTGAGAAACCCAGTTCAAAGGTTTGGGTTTTCTGTAATTCTAAAAAAAGTAATTGTAGTATATTTTTAGTAAATTATGCAAAATAATAGTGAAGTTTATATTTTTTTCTACATTTTTGTTTCGTTTTAGATTTATTACAATTGACAATAGAACGCAATATATCAATAGTAACAATATTATTTTTTTGTTTCAGACTTTATTCTGAATACTTATTTTTTAAAAGAGGGGAGAAAAAAAGTGTTGACGTTTTTCACGCAAAGGTCGAAGCCGCAATACGGAGACACTTGAACTGTTTAAAGAGACATTGTCTGCGTTACTGTTCATATTTTTATTTCGACGGGGTACGGTATATATCAGATTTATATTTAAAACTGATGTTTCATTTTACTATGGCTTTGAAATTTTGAAAGAAATTTTAGAAAATGTAACACAGCATACAATAAGATGTGCATACAACATTTTTTTACATAAAATTATGACATTTGTAAATAATGTATTGTTAAAACATGGCAACATAAAACACAGGACACGGGCAAATTTACTCATACAAACCTTAATTCTTTTGATGTATCAGTTTTACACTTGTGGGGTACAATTGCAGTGTGTTAGTATTTCCATTTCTTTAGTAAATTAAATTTATTTACTTATTTTTAATTTATCTATTTATGCTTATTTACTTTTTTAACAACAATAAAAATAAGTCATAAATGTTGTATTTATTTACATATGGAAGTTTTGTGACATTGTAAAATCTTGAGTACTTCAGAAACTTACAGTTGTTAACAATTTTCAAAAAGCAATATAACGTTTTATCAGATCAATGCAGAAGTCAAGTTGTGTTTATGACTTACTTTTTTGTTGTTGTTTGTTTTTTTCTTTTTTTTTTTTTTTTTTGTTGATATTTTTTTTTATTCAAATAATGCAACATGTTATGACTCTTTTGATATTGCTTATGTATTGTTTAGTAAGAAGTTTAGCAATAGTAATAGTTTAAAATCAATACACAAATTACCATTTACATTCGAAGATATTAGAGGTTTTTGATAATCGGTTAACTTAATAAAATTTGTTTCTGCAATTTATTTTTATAATTGTCTATAATTGATTTATGTCCAACCATTATTTTACAAGGGAATTCGACTAGAAGTTTCACTTTACCATGTGTATGTAGAAGACTACTTGCGTGTTCTTCCGCGAGACCAGGTTAAGATAGTAAAGACAGACAATTTTTCTACCAATATGAGAACTGTTGTAACAGATGTATTTAGATTTTTAGATACTGGTATGCAGTGCATGTAATTTATGATTTTTATAGCATGTAACAATCACAATTTAAATGTCGTCAATAATTAAATCAAGATATATTTGCCTGCCTAGTATATCAACTGTCTGATATATCAATTTTGTGTTTTCATTTCATAATGAGTAGAACACATTAAATTACAAATAGTAATTGAAAATGATTCATAGATTAATGTGCACTCTTTAACTTTGGATAAAAAAAATATTATTACAGTTTTAAAAGCATGTTTGTAAATATCTGTTATAGAAATTTGATATTTTAATACAAAATATTATATTATGAATTTAAGTGTATAACAATAAGTAATATACCGCATACACCTACTAGAAGGCAGCAAAAATGTGATAATAAAATATAATTACATTTTCAGAAATACCATCTGAAGAAACTTTGACAACTATTTGTTCTATTGGCAAGAAAAATACAAACATAAAGAAATATGAAGAGGCTGGTCCGATGTTGCCTGCGACAAACCGACTTTTATCGGACTTTTATAAACCACACAATGAGAAGCTTAGTTTGCTCTTAAAAGAAACTATTGACCTGGATTAAATGTATAGTATAATTGTGAAAATTATTTAATTAATCTACACAAATGTACGAGTAACCCGTACTGTGTTTACATTCAAAGGTAACCATATAATCATAACAGTCAGACTTAGCTTCCCATTACAATATAAATGCAGGTAAAATAATAAGCCGTCTAAGACTTTGTTAAAACGTATAAACATACATATTGAAGCCAAATATTATAATCACCTACATTTGATAGATTTCAATGTTTTTAATTTGTCAAGTTGTTAAGAATTCGGGCTTGCCTTTAGCGCATAAAACATTTTAAACCCATTATTTACCCCCACCCCGAAAGTTATAATTTCATTACAATACAAAAATGTTAATGTAAGTCTCATCTCATGAATTATCAATATCGAATCAAAATAACTGTAACTCTGCAAAAATTATATAGTTTCATATAAATTTATCTATATGAAAACAAATTAATTACATCAATATTGCGCAGTATCTTCAATCAATATATATGTAACATGTAGACAATTCAATACACATTGGTACTTGGATGGAGTTCCAAAAATAGTTGAAACTAGTAGAAAGAAAACTGATTATAAAATAGGATATATTGTATTATTATTTTGTCTTAAACTACCAAATGATGCCTCCTTTTTAGCTTCCTCGCAGTACACACTCTTAAAACAGTTGATGTTCAAACAGAAAATGTTAAAAACATGTAAAATATGCTCAAAAACTATCGATCAATCCTGTAAAATTTCATTGAAAATGCTTTAGTGGTATAACAAAAGTAGTCTAGACAAATTTCAAAAATAAAATCATAAAAGAGCCAAAATACAACGACACAAAAATGTTGATGATGTACAACTAGAAATCTTTATCATTCTCCCAAAGTGTTGATGGGATTGCACCAGTAGTTTCTTTGGAGTAGTCCAGGCAAAATTCTATGTAGCTGGCAACACAAAAATACCTTTTTATTCAAGGGCAATACCACAGCCAAAATCATTGAAGTATAACTCTTGTGTATTATGAACAAGTACTTGACCAATACCAATTAATCCTCTTAAGTTTCATTGAAATTGCATTAGTCATATAAAACATGAGGTTTTTAAGTAACACAGAGAGAAATATGCAGCTGGACTAAGACTCAGAAAGAACTGTAGCAACCGACGTTTAATAATGCATTCCAGAATAAACAAGGATATTTCAAATGCCCTTTTCCGGTGGTCGACCTTATCGCACTTTTTCAGCAACAAATTTATATGCAGAGGGAAATAGTAGAGAGCTGACATATTGGAACAATACCCCTATATCTTACACCTCAGAGGAATTGCATTTTACCTGTGCACGTTTGATTATTTAAGTATAATAGAAAACTTATAAAAAATTAATAAGCATATCTTGAACTTAATTCTAAAGTATAAATGTAGTGTTAAGCTTATGTTTTGTTTATTATACACTTTTGAAACAAAAAAAAAATATTTGGAAGTATTGATGAATTGAAATGCGCATTTTCATTGTATATATTTCTATATTATAAGTTTACTTTAACTGCAGTGTAACATATTTTCCGTACTTTCACTGGTGTTGTTAAATAGGAATGTAATTGATAAAACATTTTAAAACAGAGAAAAATATGATAAACAGAAAATGCATTATTTTTCCAAAATTAACGGGATTTATCTTCATTATCATAGTAGTTCCGTTTGTTTTACTTTAAGAATTTATTATGTATTACAGTGACATTATTTTCGTATTGTCACTGGTGCTTCGCCGGATTAAATTATTGTAAAGTCAGCTAAATCACAGAAATATAGGGTAGTATTCCAAATGCCAAACAAAAGAAAAATGTTAACAATAAACAGAAAATTAATTTTGTTTCATTGTGGCATGAAATATTTGATATTTCACTCGTATTTTCATACTAGTTTTGTTTATTGAAAATAACTGAAACATCACCTATTTAAACGTCTAATATCGTTTCTTTAACTTTTTTTTTTAGAAATGAAAAATATGTCGTCACTTACCTTGTATTTCTAACTCGTACGATGCATGTGATATTTTTCAAGATATGTTTGTTAATTGCTATAAATAGATTCGTCAAATAGTACAAAATCATTCTGGCATTAACATAAAGGTATGCGTAAAAAGAAGCACACTGTTCAAAATGATTATTTAAAGAATGGAAAAATATTTTGAAAGATGAATCGGGTGAAAGTT